CGGCATTCAGCCCACTGCCCGGTGCCCTTTGGGGCTGGCACCGATGGGTCTCTGCCCTCCGTTGCCCTGCAGGCATCTGCAGCCTCTCCCCTGGCACGGTTCTGGGACTGCACCGGCACCCGAGCCCACCGCAGGCAGCCCTGTCCTTTAGCGTGGTGGCAAGGCTGCTGTGAATTGGGAATCCCTCCTCCCGGAGCTTAGCTGGCACCTTCAGAGGGGTTTGGCGTGTCGAGGTACACCTGTCTGGTGTGAGGACTGGGGGGTGAATATCCCGGGGTTGCAGTTGTGCTAGGGCACAGGGAAAAGGAAACAGCAGGCAGACGAGGTAACGGTGATCATGTACGTGGGCAGCAGGGCTGAAGTGGGGTCACCCATATTGGCATGGGAAGACCCATCTCTTGGTCAATACACACCTCGTCTCGTGCTGGCCTTTTATGAGTGGGGAGCTAACCCTGTAAGAGTTTTAAAACTGTTGAAGGCGTTCCTAATGGGAACCTTGCCATGCCAATCGGCTACACAGCCTGTGAGACATCAAGAGTGCACTACAGTTTTGCCTCCTGCAGCTCTTGCTGCGTGCCCGTGAACACGCCGGGTCCCTGAAGGCTCCTCAGCCAGAAGGAGCAGCCCTGGATTTTCAGCAGTTGGGATTAAGCAGACAAAGTGGGGAGCTGTGACAAGGCCCCTGTTATTCCCCTCTTTGGGTGGTGGGCTGTTTGTATCTTGTGGCAGGAGGATTAGGCCTTGAAGCACATTTCTCCAAAGAAGACATCGAACCCAGCAGCGTAGTTTAACAACAGATGCAGGCTAAGCAGCTGCTGCTAGGATCTGGATTTATTTCTGTAGGTATGTGGTAACAGAGCCAAAGCAAAGCTTTGTTGTTTAAAACAAGGTTGTGAGGGGAGTGAGATTCTTCAAGCGCAAGGAGCCCCTGATAGATGTGCCTTCCCCTCTGTTTCCTCCCCAGATCTATGGGTTACAGTTGTGTCTTGGGCAAGGAGTCATAGCTTTGATCACCCTGTTACAAGTAAAGTGTTCTCCCATGTTGTGGATTTGCTCAGTGTTTCTGTGGGCTAAAGAAAGAGGTTTTTAAAGTATATGTTGTTCAGGATTGTATATGAAAGTGTTTATTTTTTCTGAGTGACCCAGAAGCAGGGTGCTGTTTTGGGGAGAGTAGGCTGGCTGGGTGTTTTTGGACTTAGCCAAAGGAAGTTAGAAATACAACAGAAATCAACACAGGAGTTTTTGTAGGCATTGTAGGGTGTGGTTTGGTTTATTGCTGTTACTCCTAAAACATCCGTCTGGCACCTTTGTGACCAGAACCTTTTATGCATGATGCACTCTGTGTATTTTCCGTTAAGTAATAGTTATGCTGACAGTAAAGGCATTTATCTTGGGTTTGTATACATCAGCGTTACTGGTAAGTGGCCCCATCGTGCTTCTTTGTGAACTAAGCCCCATTAGTGCAGTTCCTGTTCTTGAAAAGTTCAGAGTCTGAGCTTAAGAGAGGATCTTGAGAGACTCTTAAAGAAGTTACAAAAGTGACGTTTTACAGTAATTTAAAAACATGTTTAGGCATTCTGGGTTTGTTTTCACAAGTGGAGGAGAGAGGCAAGAGAGAGAAGTGGAACCCTCTGCTTTGATCCCACAGAAATGGTGAGGATTTTTTCCATTGACTTTGTCTGGAACAGAATCAGAGCCCAAGGCCTCAGACATATAGGAAAAGTTGCATCTATGTAATTAAGCTTGAAATTGCTAATTGTTTGGGGTTTTTTTTCCTCCCTATTGACTTAATAGAGATTGAATTTGTTTTGTTTTATTGGGGTGGGGTATTTTTTTTTCAGTAGGGGGAAGTCTCTAGTATATTAGAATAATTGGGTTCTTTGTACTATGGCTGAGATTAAGACTCTGTATAGAGGCCATCAGATCAAAGCTGACTGTTTAAATCTCTGGGATAGTCTGTGTCCTACCATGCAAAAGTCCTGACACACGTGCTGTGTATAAGCATGACAGCTTTTGTATTGGGCTTTGCATTCCAGCAAAATCTTGACAAAACTGAATAGTCACGGAGAACAAAGTTGCAAATTTTGGTTTTGTGTTTGTGTTTGGTTTGGTTGTTTTATTTTAGTAGTATATTGTGCCAATACTGTCAGTATACTTTCCTTTAACCCAAGAGTTTTTGAAAGTTTTTCTCCTATAGTGAGGGGAAAACTGGTACTGTATTGTTTAGGGTTTGTTAACTTACACCACTATACCCTTCCCATATTGATAAAACTGAAGCCTTTAGTTAAAACCATAAATGTTGACATAGTTGGTTTGTTTTGGTTTTTTTTCCTAAAAGGAGTGTCAGAAATTTCACTGACCATGTAGTCTTTTAGTGAAATTGTCATAACTGCTGAAACTTTTCCCTTTAACAAAAAGGGGTGTCCCAGCTGAATGTGAGCAAAAAAGCCTTTCTTGTGTTTGGAGAGAGCAGCACACTGCCATTTCTGTTCTGAAGGGTTTATCTTAGAAGTTATTGAAAGCCTTTAGTGATGTAGCTTCCCCCCACACACTTTTGCCCTCTCTTTTCACTGTTACTTCTCTCAGCATGGACAGTAAACAGTGTCTGATTGGTTTTGTTAACTTCTTAAACTTTCAACTTTTTTCAATCCAGCTCGGACTGGGAACTTCATTTTAAAAGCTGAGTGATGTTTTGTGAGGTGGCTGAACTGGGAGCAAGGTGGGTTGCTACTCCTGAGAGGGGCAGGTCGGCTCCTGCTCACCGAGCTCTGCCGTGGCTGTGGGGTGTGGAGTCAGCCTCCCAGACCAGCAATAAAACGAAGGGAAGAATTTTCTGCCAACTTAGTGACTTGCACTGACTTGCAGAGGGTGCTAGGCAAGTGCCAGAGCAGGTGCAAGAGAAACTTTGGGTAGCACACATGAGAGGGGTGAAGGAAGGAATCTTGGCTCTTGGATGAGTTCAGATAGCTCACCACTATTTTCTCCTGGACACCTTCTTTCTAGGTGCATTTCCATATATAATGTAACAAGTACAGGAGATGGGTAATAAACCTGTACAGCCTTACTTGATTACTTTGAGGAACATTCACTTACCTCTTTTTTTTCCTTCCTCTATCTATGCCTCTGTCTGTTGTGTTTTTAAATGAAATTTTACTTTGAGATAGGCAAAAGTTTGGAAATATATCCTGACAAAGTATTCCATGCTTTATGGCATTCTTCTGTCAATCACTCTGGTACTAAAAGGCTAGGGTAGCTCATGTGCCTCGTAAGAGAGGGCTTCTTAACCAGATGCTGCCCCACATCCTTAGCATGCCCTGTCTGTGATGTCCCTGAGGGGGGCTGTGAAGCATCCCAAGGAAGCAGTAGTTTATGATGACATCAGAGCAGGTGTGCATGCACATGCCCTCTGGGTACCCTTGTCCCTGCAGAACCCTGTGGACCGGTTGCAATCAGGGCGTGAGTAGATGGACTTCTGAAGCCACATGGGGGGCTGGCTTTTCCCGCTGCTGTCTGCACAGCCTGTTTTCTCTCTGGGCATAGCACTCGAGGTTTGGTAATGCTGAAGTGCCTCTTGTTGCCTACATCAGCCTGGGCTGTAATCACTCCCCGTCACATTTGTTTCTGCCTTTCTATATGTGTGTTGAACCTTTTAGAGCAAATTTGGTCAGGGAAGAGCTTGATCCAAAATCTGTAGTAGAGAGTGGATGCATGTGCTGTTGCTCATCTCGAATAGGCTTTATATGCCTCACCGAGACTCAGTGGCAGAGGTCAGTTTTTATTTAGAAATGTAGAAGAACATAAATACACTAGCTTTTATTTATTTGTCAGTTTTCGTGCAAAATTTATACCTGTTAATGTCACAATGGGAGCTTGTTGTACCGGCACCTGGTGTATCACTGTGCTGAAAGCATCACTGCTGAGCTTGAGCATCTCCCTTCTGCAGTCAGAGCAATGTTCTGTTAATGCAGTGCTAAGGACTCCCAAGTCCACACAGGTAAACTAGGCAGTAACAATTGTTTAAACCACTCTTCTTTCATTTTCCTTTGGCTTTGAAGAGGCTGGTAAAGATACAATGTGAGCCTTGTTATGCTTTAACTTAATCAGTATTGGCCAGTTGTATACTGTAAAAAGCCCCCTCTGCTTTCCCCATATGGAACAGCTGTAATGGGAAAAACTGATATAGCTAGGAAAGGGAACAGGATGGGGGGTTGTAATGTGAACACATCAGAAAGGCACTGGAGAGCAGCACTTAAAATATGAAATGGCAGTTTGGCTGACATATTGAAAGTGCATAGTACTACAATATGACGTGCTTTTATTTCTTTAAATTCCTGTGGATATAGCTATGAGGTGGCACACCCACATTTTTGTAAGACGTGCATTTATTGAAAGAAAAAAACAAACCCTTTCTTACTCAGTGGACTGAAGTCTAAATCTGTTTGGTTCTCACCAGAAAATACATATTTTAGACAAAGAATTATACTTTTGAAGATGTATATTAACACAAGTTAGAATAGTATGAACCTTGGTTTCTTTTAGAAGGATATCTTTTTACTTACTGTTCTCTACACTTTCCTGTCTCTCATCCATTTCCCTTTATCCTGACCTTTTTTATTTTTTACTTGAAACAAAGTGTATTACACAAGTACAGGCTTCAGTTGTACTGAATCTCTGCTCACTGCTCCTAACAGCAATGTTTTGATGCAGATTACTGTTTTGGACTAGGGAGCTACTGCATTTCAAGCATCAATATAGTCAGAACAGGTTTGCAGTTTTGTATACTGCTTAATGTGTTTCTTTGCTCTTTGGATTTTATTTCAGGGCATCTAGATGATGATGGGTTGCCACATGGATTCTGTACAGTCACCTATTCATCGACAGACAGATTTGAGGGAAACTTCGTGCATGGCGAGAAGAATGGCCGTGGCAAATTCTTCTTTTTTGATGGAAGGTAGACACTGTCTCTTCAATTTTTCTTCTATATTCTGCCTCCTGCTTGCAGTGATATATAACTGATCTGCATTGATTGTATGCTGCTGAGTTTCTGGATCAGCTTTGTCATTAAAAGCTGTAGCTGGAAAGTTTCCTCTACTGCTTTTGTAGCCATAGTGCTGACAGGGTACCTTTGTGGGCTTGGGAGCTTTGTCTGTAACGCGGTGCCTGGAGTTGTTCCCTGGTGGGAGAATGCAGTGGTGTGAGCACTTCTAGCACTGTAAAATTATGAACTAATTAGAGGCCATAAGGACTGGGAGGTGGTCAGAGCTATTGGCAACCATGCAGACGATGACTTGGACTATGAAGTTCACATCTGTAACTGCAAGTGGAATTCTTTTTGTCCTATAAAGAGACTGCAACTGGACTGGGAGCTGCCTGTGCCAGACCCCATGCAGAGAGGCTTACCCTCTGCTTGGTCTTGGAAATTGTTGAGAGGTTAAAGGGCTGAGTTAAATATGGTCTTGTTCCCAACTCTACCTAATCCCCTGCAAGTTGCTTGTGGCCTGATTTGTTTTCAGAAAAGCCCCTATAATTTCCCCTCTCTTCACTGGGAACTGTGGCAATGAAATTGGGCTAGTCTGTGCCTATGCATATGTTTTCTTCTCAGGTCTTCATTATGAACACCTTGTACATCTTCCCCCAACTGCAGCCTGTCTCTCTGCAGTTGCTCAGAACTTGCTCCAAGGGAGCAGCAGATGCATAAAATGACACGATTCTTCATGGGTTTGCAGCTGTCGGTGGCACTATGAATAGCAGCTGTTAAACTGACAGTCGTGCTGGGTCTCCTCTCCTCCTGCTCTGCGAACTTCTGAGCAGGAGTGGAGGTATTGTGCTGTTTCAGTGAGTCAGCTCCTTGTCTGCACTTCCCTTTGCAATTGCTTCCTACTGAGGATTGTGGGTTTTTTTTCATGAGAAAGATAATATATTTATTCAGTTAAGCAGAAAGTGATCAGGCTTCCAAGCTTGGATGAAGAAAAATCCCCACTGTTGTTGGTAATGGGCTTACTAAATCTTGTGTGAGTAACTGAAAATCAGTACTGTCCGGCAGCTGACCTCTCTAAAATAGCCTTTTTTTTTAAAATTGTCAGACAAAGTCTCTATGAACACACGTACATAATGCTTCTGTGCTTGTTGATGATCTCAGCAGAGCGGTTGCTGATTGTAGTCAGAGAAACTGACCCATTATGTTGTTTATGGAGCTGCTCCTCCAAGTAATCCAGGGTACAGGCAGTGCTCTGCGGGGAAACTCGGGCTGCTGCTGCCTGTGCTGAGCCTTTGCTGTAGTGCTTCAGCGTTGCCAACTTTTTTTTTCCCTATAACCCTTACAAAAATGGAACAGTTGGCTACTGTAGGACTTCAGGAACTAGCAAAATGAAAATACACAATAATAGTCTGTAATACGCTTTTGGAAAATGGGATATTTTTATAAACTGCTCTAAGCTCATTTTAATTTAGCTAAAGCAGCATTAGCTAAGCAGTGAGTTTAGTTACTAAAGATGTTGCGATTTACCTATCCATACCCAGGTAGTTACGAAGAAGAGAAATGCATCCCCAAAATTTCTCAAAACGCCTCTTCCCTTTCAGTACTGTGTGCTTCAGTGTATTAAGTTAGCTGGTTTCAGCATTCCTGGATCTGTTTCCCTCCCAGGCTGCCAGTAAAGGCTGACAGCTGAGCTGCTCTAGGTCTGTTGTTTGGGAATAGTTGAGCCCTATTGGGCACTGGGCTGGCAGCAATGTAAGCATTCTAGTTTTTTGAGTGTTGTGAAATAGGGTTGGCTGCCTAGCTGCCTTGTTTGCCTCAGTGAAAACTTTTCCCTTTATTAGAATAGCTGCCCCTTTCCTGTTGATTATTTAAGGGGTGGAAACCTGGAATGAAATACCAGTTGTTTTGTCCTCCTCCTTGAAAAATGCAACAGAACCCAACATACTCTTTCAGAGAGAGAAGTTTCATCTCTGGCATACTCCCTGTTTTGGATCTTGTGCTTGAGCATTCATTGGTGCTAAGGTTTGCTGGAATGTACATTACAAACCACCTTGCGCAACCACTGAGCATGAGAGTCGTGCTTGGCACTGAGCTACAGCTGCTGTTCTCCCTTAACTAGAAACTCTTGTAAGCTGGCAGCTCCCAGATCAGACTAGAGAGTGGTATTGTTATTAAGAAAAAGTTTTTACTGTTCCCATATAGAGGGGCAAGTGGGAGATCAGGGAGTGAGGAATGAATGGAATGAGGTCTATCAGTGTAACTTAGTATCTGAAAGGATATTGCAGTAAGTATTCTCCCCCAGGTATTATCACTAGTTTAATTTTTAGGTGATGGATATCCTGGATCCCCTCTGGGCCTGGTGGGTAACGGAAAGACAGTTCACCTGATTAATTTTGACTTTAGGAAAGGTTTAGATTATCACAAATATGATAATCTGAGAAGCAAACTGGAGAAACGTGGGCTAGCTAGGGTTTGTTTTAACAAGATTCGGTTTATGCAAGGCACAGAAGCTATTTATTCCTCCTGGTGCTGGCCAGGTCTTAGTTGCGAGTATTGTGTCTGGTTGCAGACACCATACTTGGACAGCTTAAAAAAAGAGAGAAAGAGAGAGGAGAGATGGAGGGGTATAACTTAAAAAAACCTCAACCTGTGAATAACAGGGAAGTCTTAGAGAACCTGGCTTTTTAGGCAAGGTTGAAAGACATGGAATTTTTACTTTAGGTAACTTTATTTCCTTGGATGATAGGAGAGTAGAAAGAGATCGATCCTTTGGACTTTGGGACTCAATACAATGAAAGAAAACCTAGGGATTTGAGTTACAGTAAAAGGAAAAGACATTTTTTTCTAGTCCTGAAGCACTGTTGTAGTTTAGCAACTTGTTAACTTCAACTAATACCATTAAAGCTAACAAGATTGGTTTGTTTGAGGTTTTTTTCATGACATAAACTGGGGGTGGCTGCTTCTTTTAAAGAGTAATCCTGCATGTGGGCTCTGTGTGTGTTGTCAGCTACAACAAATTTAAAATCTGGTGATCTGTGATAAACTGCAGGAAAAAGTGGTGTCATTTATAGCTGAAAAAGTGATGTCGTTTATAGCTGAAAAAATGCAGAGACTTCTGGTGGTTCCCTCCTCTGCTCTGTTTCTTCCCTGTGGTGCCATAGCTGTCTGTGCAGCTCTGTAGCAACCTGGATCAAGAAATTCATCCGACTGAAAAGTAAAGCAGCTTTGCTGCCCGTTTCTGCTCAGTAGCTGGTTTGCATTAAGGCTATGTGAGCAGTGCTGTGGGACAACACACAGGGTGCAGAAAGGAACTGTTTAAAACAGCATTGGTGTGAAGGGAGCTGTGTGAAGCCAAAGCTGAAGTCAAGTTTCTAAACACTCTCTTCTGTCATGGGTAATGTACCTTCTTTTACTGTAGTGTATTTTCCCATGGAAAAAGAATTATGCCATGAAAGCATGTGTACTGCAGCTGGCTGTTAACTATGTATGCTGGGGTAAAAGAGAAACAGTTTCTATTTCCTTGTGCTAATTGTAACATGAGAAAGAAATAACTGAGTAGATTGTCTTTTACTATTTTGCTTTCATTCTTTGTAGTTTCTCTCAGCAGCCTTTTTTAAGAAAGGAAATGAAGCAGACTGCAAGGTATTACTGCACTCCTTCTAGAGGGTTTTCAAGACAAAACTGAAATGAAATCACATCTCTTTGTTCAGATCCAAGTGCAGCACTAGTCCTGTTTGACAGGCTGCGTTCCATTTTAACAGGAATACATGAGAACTGACAGTACTTTTAGCGCATCTGGTATAGATTGTTGTGAAATGTTGCTGGGGAGCTAACACTGACCTGGTAGCCGGTTGCGGTTTGTGCCCTGTTACAGTCCACTTGTGTGGCAGTTCAGTTTCATCTCACCAGAGATGTCACCAAAGATCCAGACATAGGGGGTAGAAAATCCTAGTGTGAGAGTAGCCTGCTTGAGCAATAATTTCTTTGACCACGAGCAGTCCACTCGCTGCTTCAGTTTTCTACCTCAGCCTATGAAAAAAAGCTCAGCAGTGCAATTTGGGTGAAGAATGCTATGTCCGTGTGTCCTGGTGAAAGGACAGTGTAAGATGTTCTCTGCCTTTGGAGGTCCGTAGAAACAAGTTTCTGTTTTTCTTTATGGCTTTCCAGAGAAATCAGGCTTAACCTTCCTACTCCCCTTCCTCTGATCCCTCTCAAATTTGCTTGAAACTAGCAAACGCATCAGAGTTTCAGACTTTGTGGACAGTGATGCCTCGTGGGGGACAGAAGAGAGACTGGAAGCAGTGTGTCAGTGTGGGAGCCCTGGCAGCCGCCAGGCCTTTTGGCATGGGTTTCCTGGGAGGCCAATCCACCTGTGCGTAGCTCTGCCCTGGGACAGCCTGGGCTTTCTGAGAGAGGCCACTGCAAAAATGAAGACAAGCTGCGATGTTTGCAGTGGTGGTGTGTGTTTTGGGGAGGCTTGTAAGGGACCCGGCAGCAGCAAGCCAGGCATCAGCAGTTCAGCGCTTCCTAGGACCTGGATTTCTTGAATGTTTCTCCTTCGCCTCTCTGTGATAATGAGCAGAGGAGCAGGGTTGTGCTGTGCCGTGTGTGGAGGCTTTGAATTCACTTCCTAGGGAGATGAATAGTCTTCCACCACTGTTTTTCTCTTTTTCCCAGCACCTTGGAAGGGTACTATGTTGACGATGCCCTGCAAGGCCAGGGGATCTACACCTACGAGGATGGAGTGGTGCTTCATGGCACATACGTGGATGGAGAGCTGAATGGACCAGCCCAGGAGTATGACAGTGACGGGCGGCTGATATTCAAAGGGCAGTATAAAGACAACATTCGACATGGAGTTTGTTGGATCTATTACCCAGTAAGCCTGACCACCTGCCCTCTTTATATATAGCATAATTATGTTATTTATCTTTTCTCTCCGGATGAAACAAATATCTACCAGCAATAATGGTTGTACTGGATTTTAGGGTTTTTTAATGTAGTTTTTTAAAATTTTCATTCTTATTAACCTTACACAGCACTCTAGACTTGAACCTTTCAATATTTACCCTGTGCTAAGGAGGGGGAAACATCTGCTTGTAATTAAGCTGCTGGTCAAAAAACAATCTGTTTCTGTGCAGCATATTGCACATACTTTAATTGCAGATTCATTTCAAATGCTTACCATTGTCTGTTCATTTTATTTACTGGTTTTCACAATTGGCATTATGCATGTCTGTTAGAATCAACAAATGCTTGGTGTACGGTACCAGACAAGTAGCAGTTTTTCACTAGTAGCGTATAAATACACACAGTTGACCCTTCAGGTCTTATGTCTCCTGTTTCATCTTCCAGCTGACAAAGTGTTGCTGTACCTTCTGGAAATACAGATCTTTGGAGTTTGTTTATCATCTGGCCAGACTGAAGGATGCAAGGTGTTAAAAAAAAACCCACAAAACTTTGCCATGCAATTGTTTATGCATGATTCTGTGCATGATGTTATGTACACAAATTTTTACCCAGTCTTAAGGTTCACTGTTCGTTGCTATGATATGTTTGAAACTCTTTCATCCTTGGAGTTGAACAAAATGGTGGCACTCTGCAGTAGAGTCGGCATGCAGAGATCTTGTTCTAAAGCAGTCTGTTTCCATGTCACACCTACTCTTTTTTGCTCCAGGGCACTATTTGAAGATGTTTCCTTGTCCTTTTTGAAATAAACACCTGAGTCAGACCTGTGCTGATCTATGCATCTCATTCTGCAATTCTGTAAAGAGACCTAACCACAGTTGCAGGCAAATCACAGATGGCAAAGCCCAGGGCTAAAATGTGTCACACTTAGAGAGGAAAAATGTTGCTGGTGATGGCTTTCAGCAAACAGTTGCTCTTGTTGACTACCACCTGACATCATGGGGCGTTGCTGGGGACAGAGGAACTCTCCAGTTGTCCAGCAAATTATATTTTTTTTTAATAGGCTGAAGTCTTTTAGTGCACCATGAATTAGCAGTGAACAAGACAGCATTTTAATTTTTTCTTTCCTCCAGCACAGTATCAAGCTAAGAAAACTCAGATAGAGTTTGTGTGTGGCTTTGGGCCTTTGTTCACAGACTGTTTGCATTAAAATGTTGTCAATTGAAGCTCAGTATTTGTGTCACACCGAAGGAAAGACCTTGGGTTTTGCCTATTTCAAACAACATAGAAAATCCAGATATTTTCTTTTATCAGTTTTATCCTGATGGGAATGACTTCACCCAACTTCATGTGTCTGTTTCTCACTCCTTTTCATGAACTCACATCTGAACTGACTGTAAAAAGTTGGGAAAAACCTTTTTCATTTACTGAAGATAGTGAAGTATAACTAAATGCTCTAACTTTTCTTTCTTGCCTGTGCTTTCAGGATGGAGGCAGCCTTGTGGGAGAAGTGAATGAAGAAGGGGAGATGACTGGAGAGAAAATAGCCTATATGTACCCTGATGGAAAGACTGCATATTCTGGAAGGTTCATAGATGGAGAAATGATAGAAGCAAAACTGGCAACTCTGACATCTGTGGAGGATGGGAAACCTCAGTTTGAAGTAGTATCAGGCAGTAAGTTCAGAATCATAGAATACCAGGTTGGAAGGGACGACAAGGATCACTTATTCAGCTAACACAGAAACTTGTATTCTTGCTACCAGCAATTCGCCACAAACGACACTGTTTCTGTTGTGTTTCCTGTTAGAGAATCTAAAGCCTGGCTGCAATAAGAAGTCTGTTAGCCAGAAGCCCTATTTCTAAATTATGAATTTGGGCAGAAAGGCATGTGGGGTGATTCCTTTGCCCTGGAAACAAATAGGAAGTGACCCATGCAGTGGTGCTGCTGAATTGTGTCCCATAACCTTTCTTTTGCGTGCTCATGGGCACAGCCCTGCTTGTTACGCAACATTGCCATCTGTGCCAGCATGAAAACCTGCTTATCAGTGTTAATGCTGGCACAGTTACAGGCTTTGTTTTGTTAGTAAAATAACTAAAAGTGGAGAGTGAGGCTGTGGTTTGGTTGTTGCTCTGTCAGTTGGGTTTGTGCAAGTGAATGTTAGCACAGCAGATATTCTGTCATCTACATTACGGGGCTGAAAGGACACCGAGGTTGGAATTAGTGAGCTAGACTCAGTTGTGTAACAGTGCGATTCATCAGCACCCTTCAGTCTGTCTAGGCTTGCTGAAATGATCAGGGTCAGGGTGATGCTTTTGACCCATGTAGCCAGTGCTCCTTCTCCAGGGCAGTGGTGGCTTGGGCCTATAGTTCTGGAGTGGTCTTGTTGCCCTGAGGTTTATGTGAAGTTTTGGAGGTGAGTAGGGTAACCTGTGGACAGGGCCAGGAGTAATCAACAGGAACTATGCTAACACATTTACTGTTTTGCTGGCAAAGATTATCTCACTCAGTATGAAATGAGAACAGTGAAAAGAGGTTGAGAAGCAAATGCCTGCAACTTTTTTTTTAAATCTCTGGTTTGATAGCAAATAAAAATTAACTTAAAACATGTCTTCTGAGAGGGTACAGCTGTGCTTTGTAAATAGGATTCAGTTACACTCTGGATGGAGCTACCTTCAGCCAGAACAGACCTTGGACACCAAGGACAACAGCCTTTTATCAAACTTTGTAATATTTTTGTTTGGGGTTTTTTCACCCCATCTTATTTCCACCTGCATCTTAACCTGTCTCCCAGATGGCCCTCTGGCAATTGATTGGAGAGGAATGCAAGGATATAATTTGAGTTGCTTATTAATGGTAGAAAATAAATGACTGTAGCAATTGTACTTTGTCATTATTGAACATTATCTTCTGGGACACCATTGAAGTCTCTTCAACAGTTTGTATTTTAAATAGTCCAAGATTTTTTGTAATTAATGTGTTATTGAATACATCCTTTTAAATTTTGCTTTACTTTTTAAGTAGAGATTCTGGGAGGGTCAGTTTTGAAAGACTGTCCAGTCCTCCTTTAAAGGTTGGTAGCCTGAAGAACTTAGATATCACCATTTTGTGATAATATGCTGCTACTTTAGTACATTGATGGAAAAAATAATCAAGAAATAGTATCTCGCTGAAAACCTTTTACTGGTGTGATTCTATTTAATACCTTTCTTTTGGAAACATAACATTTATTTCTTGCAGTCGTTAAAATTTAATTTGCGTGCTTCCAGTACTGCCAATTAGTATATTTCCATTGTTGATTTCTGTTTTTTCAGGCCCAGTGTACAGTTTTGACAAATCTACTTCATCCTGCATTTCTACAAATGCACTTCTTCCTGATCCATACGAGTCAGAGAGGTAGGCTTTTATTTCTTCTCTCATCTTTCAATATCATCCGTATTTCCTTGCTGTTACATATTTCAGGCCTAATTTTGCAAGCATTCTCTCATTTAAAATGTATCTTAAAAGCATGTAAGGGTTTGTGAAATGTAGTCCATTACTGCACATCAGTCAGCATTTGACTGGATTGAACTCTTTGATTTGCACAATAAAATTGCACTCTAGTGGGTAGAATACAGTAATAACTTTTAAGAGATTAAACAAGGATAATTTCTTAGCATTTCAAATACATGTTCAGTGAAGTCCTGGACACCACTAATAGCCCATATCTACAACATTCTGAGCAAATAAGTATGCTGTTCCCTATTTTCTAGATGTGTAACTAGCTCTGGGTTGCAGTGTGCTGTGTTCAGTGCATTTTGCTGGATGGCACGTGTTGTACAAAGTTTTCTCCCCTCCCTACAGTCTAGCAAATTGGCAAGATTAAATCATCAAGTTGAAGAAAAGTGAGATTGTGTTTGTGACAACCCTGTAATGTCAAAACACATTGCTCAGCAATTGTCTCATCATAGTCAGTGGCACTTTTCTATTTCCTCCATGGCTATTCCACAATTACACATGTTACGTAGACTTTCAAGAGGCCTTGCTCTATAGCAATCTCAATTGTTGTCCTTTTCTGATACCGTGGTATGTCCAAATAAGTGATTAGTGAAGTGCTGGCATTCATTTGGATCAAGTACTTGAAGGTCTAAGCCTTCACCTTAAACTCTTCTTCAGTGGAGTAATAATCTGTGCAAGTACACACCAGCAGTCTCAGCTTAGTGGGGACCTTTGAGATTCTGGTATGTTATTGAGGGTGTTCCTGAGTTTAAGCTATTATTGAGTATTAATGCTAGATTGGCACTTAAAAATTAATTTTCAAACTAACAGATAAAGTCAGCCTCCACTTCCTACCAAATCCCATTTTGCCAAAATAGAGAGAATGTGTGGAGGAGAGGAAGGACAAGGAGTTGCACTTGAAGGATTTGGATTATTATTACTTGCTTTGTTGTTATACTAAATTATTAGTCTTTATGCCAGTAGCATGGTGATAAAACTTCTTGAAAATGAAAACTGTAGTCAATCACTAATTCCATGTCCTTTTCCTCATGTAGGGTGTATGTTGATGTGTCTCTCATTTCCAGTGCTGGAGAAGGATTATTTTCAAAAATAGCAGCAGAGGCCAGTACAGTTATGTCCTTTTACAACGGAGTGCGAATTACACACCAGGAGGTAAAGGAGAAAAAAAAAGTCAGTCTGAATTTTCGTTGCTCCTTCTGAAATAGTAGGATCTTACACCCTTAAGATTTAATATGATAGAGTTCATTGAAAGAAAGTATATGTTCACCTAAGTTTCTATAGGAAAAAAAAAAGTGATGGGGCTTTTTTAGTAACTTATACAGGGAAAGCTGTAGTTGCATATATTTGAACTTTTGCTTTCAAACTGCTGATAAATTTGACCCTTTCACTCACGCGCGCACGCACCCACACTGATTTTTTGCCTTGCACACTAGGTAGACAGCAGAGACTGGGCCCTCAATGGAAATACAATATCCCTGGATGACGAAACGGTCATAGACGTGCCAGAACCCTACAACCACGCCGCCAAGTACTGTGCCTCGCTGGGGCATAAGGCCAACCATTCTTTCACTCCAAACTGCATCTATGACCCGTAAGTAGTCCTGCCTTTCAGAGTGGGACCTGCAGCACATCTGGGCAGATGGGGAGCAGAGAGTGGGGCTGGGAGTGGGAGTAATGGGTCCAGGCACTGGGGGGGTTCCTGCTCACCTGGGCCGAGTAGGAAACTGGCTGGCATTGCAAGTGCATGAACTTTAGGAGCTGTCTGTTGATTCTAAAATGCCTAAGCACAGCTCTTCAAATCCTAGCTCAGCTAGGACCTCACCATATTTGCTGCACTACAGGTGCTTGACCAGCACCCTCCAATGTGCTGTCATTTCTGAAACTCCAAAAGTAAGCATCTTGCTGTGCTGCAGCTGGTGCAGAGCACTAAGAACCTTTTGATGTATACATGTGCTCAAGAGTATAAATATTTTCATACCAATGTATAAATGGACTGACCTGTGGGGAGATATATATAGATTAATAGGTGTATATATGTTTATATATGTAGAAAACAGTTTTCTTTCATTAAATAAGCTGGTTTCCTTTACTCTAGGACCCTGGGGAAAGATGTATAGAAGTAAGTGATGATTGTTTGGTTGGTAACCTGGATGTGGAAACTGATAAGCAATGTTCCATGGTTTCCAGACTCTCATAATCTGTGCTGGTTTTCTGTCATGTGGATGTTTACTACTGCAAACCCAAGGCACATGGCAGTGATTAATTTTGTTTTAATTATTTATTACATACAAGCAATGTTACAGCACTGTTGAAAACTTCAATTAATGGAGCTACACAAAGCTGTTTTAATATATCGATATTTTTGCCCTTATTACTTAAGCTTTTGTAAGGTTGACTCAAAGCAATCTACTCATATCAGATTATGTGATATTACTCTGAACCGTGAGTGACTTCTGAAACTATAAAAGGGGCTAGCAGAGTCTGTGAATCAACAGCTCAGCCTAGCAAAAGTGTTTATTCTTTGTCTAGGTTTGTTCATCCTCGCTTTGGGCCCATCAAATGCATCCGCACCATCAGAGCTGTGGAGAAGGATGAAGAGTTAACAGTGGCTTATGGATACGATCACAACCCCGTTGGCCAAAACGGGCCAGAAGCACCAGAGTGGTACCAGCTGGAACTGAAAGCTTTCCAGGCTGCCCAGCAAAAGTGAAATGAAAGCTACTGCTTTGTTCAGCAAACTGAAATAGAAACTTGGATCTATGCACTACCTTTATACTGAAAACTGGACAACCAGGGATTGTTCATGCTGTTGCATCATAACTTTGCATTCTGTGTTAAGAGATAAGTTTCTTGCATACTAACTAGGTTTGACTGTGTTACTCATAGCAGATTTAAAATTAGCTAGCGTTGCACCAGTCTTATCTGGAGAAATTATTCACTATTCTATACAAAACGTGATATTCTTTGGTAGCTTCTGCTTTTGCACCATATGCAAAGATGCCAAAAGACTAGACAGAAAACTAAAATGGGTATATCGTTCACTTTTAGTCGGCAGACTTAGTGTTGCTCTCTATCTGCCTAGGCATTATTGTGCAACTGCATTTTGCATATATGCCACTTGTGATGATAGCAGTAATATTTTGATATTATATAATAGTAGCATAATTCTGCCTTTTTAAACCTTTGATCTGAATCTTGCAATAGAGCAGTTTATTTATTAGCATATAGGAGGCTGGGTTTTAACTCCCCTTTCCTCTTGTCTGAACGTTGTTCTTTCTACAAATCCTCTTTTGCAGGAGAAAATCCTTTCTAAGTAGTGGAAAGGCTTGTGTGTGTATGTGAGAGTGCTGTGTGTTTGTCTCTGTGGCTCTCTAAATAGTATAGCAACATGTCCAAACCTAATATTTATCTAGCCTTTATGGCTGGCTTATTTTATTTAATTTATGATTATGACACGCAAATGAAGCTGTTCTTTGCATGAAGATTTTCTGAAAGGAGAAGACGGATTCACTTTTTGGAGGACTTTCAGAAGGACGTGTGCTGGAAGGCAAGCATGTTACTTGCATTAGTGTCCATGAGTTGGTTTGTGTATTTCACCTGGTAAAGCAACCAGTTCTCAAGGCAAAAAATTCTAGCAAGGAGATGCTTACATCTCACACGAATTCTCTTAAAGAAGGTGTCTGTATTTGAGGGTGGGCTGTAGTACTTGGTTAAGGAGAGCTGTATCTTTTGTATGTGTTCAGTTGACAAAGAATATAGCCTTGTAGCCGTCTCTTAGTACTACTGGTTTAACACACAGTAAATTGATATAGTATGAGATATCAAAATAAGATTTTTTTAAAAATGAAAAGATTGTTTTTGAAAGACAAACAATGAATGTAGAAACATCAGTCACTGCTCATATTTAGAAACAGCAGTCAATCCATAGCTTTGTTACAGCCAGCAGTGGGGGAGCTTGTGAATATTCATCTGCAGGGCTGTGTTCTGGGGTTTTTCAGGGGTAGGGGAGTTGCTGTGCATTTTTTTCAAATACTGTACTGGTCTTGCCTAATGCTGTAGAACAGAGAAATACATAATTTTGGTATGGCTGCTGAAGCCCTTCTGGGACTCCGGTGTTCTCTTTTGGGTTTAGCAGCTTAGGAAAGACTCAAATGCATTTGCAACATTTTCCTTAAATGTTTGTAGTTTTAAAAAATTTTGTATATATGTAACATAAATGATTTGGAAATCAGACCTACGTTCCTATTGCAACACATTTTGGATGCTTGCTTGTACAATAGGGGGGTGTCTGGCTGTCTGGGGAGCTAGACATGGAGAATGGGTTGGATTGGTACCTGCAAGTGGAAGGATGAGGTTGCTGTTGTGTGCAGTTTGAGAATCCTTGCTTTGGTACCTGTGCAAAGTTAGGAATTATTTATAAATAAGAATCTCTTTAACCTGGGGCCCTGTGACTAATCACAAACCTTTTCCAGCGCCTCACCATTTAAGCTTGCGTAAAAGCCACTCAGTGCTTGTGCTGGGGAGGCAAGCAGGCTTGGGGCTTTGTGTCACTTCTTGCAGTGGTGATCTGAATGTGAGCTTTGGCACCACCCATCTCCTCCAACTGGAGACTCAGGCCACGGTTCCACTTCCCATCCAAGGCAGGCAGCTGCCGAGGAGACAGCTCAGGGACTCAGACACAACTGGGCCTCTCGGGTGAGGGAGAGCTGTCAAAGGCCAGATGGCAGCATGGCTTCAGCAAACCAACATCAGAAAGAAATCTGCATGTCTCTATCTTTCCCTATTAATTTAGATCATTTGCAGAAAGGTGTGCCTCTCTGGTAGGAGGCTGTTGCTTGCCTCTTGTCGATTACTCTGCCAGGACCATGAGGTTTGCAAAGTTGAGGCTTGTGTTAAAATGCAGGGACGAGGAGGATGAAGGTATGTGACTGAACCCTGCTGTGAATGGATGGTAACTCCTTCCACAGACTTGGGACCGCTTGCCTCTTTGTGCCTGCTAGCAAATCGTGCTTAAAATGCTCTGATCTCTAGAGCTCCTTCAGCTTCATTCCTGATCAGTCTCCGATTCCTCTGCCATCTCCTCTACATGGGAGTTGCTTATGTTTTAATAAATTTGTCAGTCTTCATATTGCCTGATTTTTGACATAAATACAAGATGGGTGCTCTTAGCACATCAGATTTGATGGTTGCATCCTAGAATAGGGATATTCTAGGGAAAAAAAAGGACACTTGAGTATCCTCTGTGTGTACTCAAAAGCCATTACTTTGGTGACAGTCAAGCAGATTCTCTTGCTCTTGTGTATGCTTGTAGCCTGGTATTGTGCCACAGCTGTGGCTATTGTCTCTGTTAGCTCTACTGTAGTTTTTCTCTCTGCTCTGTTAAAATCTATTGGTCCTCCTATAGATCCCTTCTTCGGTGACCAACCTTCTATAAAAGTTGTGATTATAAAGCTGCTTTGGCTTGATTCAGGACCAGGCCTTTCAATTCCTCTTTTTCTTTTTCTTTGTGATCTGTTAGAGTGGGGATAGTTGGGGTGGTTTTTTTTTACCTCTGGGTAGTGAAAGGGCTCAGGGCTCAGTGTGTCCTTCAGAGGTTTTTGAGGTGTGCACGTTGGCAACCACAGGTTCAAACACAGGTTAGTTACAGAACTCCAAATAATGCCTTAACTTGGTCAACGTATTGCAGCTCAGCTTCTGGGGCTCACTAGATAGCAAGACTGGCTCAGAAAAACTACTTATTGTTAATAACATGAGACCCACACCAAAACACAGTTTCAGTTTGGAGCAAATGAAGTAGTCATTTTGCAAAGTGATCCATTTGAGGGTGCTAAATGCAGCTGACCACTGGTGAATATGCAATAAGTAAGGAAGCTCCACTTCTCAGAGTCTGGCCAAAGAAACTGGAAGAAGAGCTGATGGCTGTCAGCTGAGCCTGGGTGAGCAGCTGGGGCTTAGAGTACCCCTTGTGAGTAAAGGGTGGCATAGGAGAAGGTGGAATTGCTGCTTTTTTCAGATATGGATCAGTTCCTAATGCCTGTCTTTGGTCTGCAGTGCTGCACAGAGTTCCTCTATGATGGGAGGGTCGTTACCTGAGAAGGAGCCTGTATGAGAGGCTGCTGATTGTCTCTCTTAAAAAAAAAAAAAAAAAAAATCTTAACTGGGTCGTCCTGCTACAACAGCACTGTGTTTTGTCACCAGGAATACAGAAGCTTAGTTTTCTGGAGAAGTGGTTAATCTTTGAGGCAAGAGAGCATGAGAAGTTACAGCTGAGAGCTACCTGCTGCTGGATCACTCCTCTGGATAAGAGGGACAAGGGCTTAGGCCTAGGAGTGTGTTGCAGGTTGAGTCTCATGCTACGTTTGGCTCTTTGGGATCTAATATAATACCTGATTTTCCTTCGCAAATCTGAAAAGGCTTTTTTCCTTTCTTTTTTTTATTTTTTTTTGTAGTAATTACAAAAGACAACCTACGTATAAGTCTTAGCTGTTGAAAAAGTCAAAGGAAACTCACAGCTATGGCTCTTTAGTGATCAGAGTGAGAGCTGTGATAGCCCCTTGATTTTTTTTCCCACTGTTACAACAATACCGCCAAGGATGGCCCATGTTTTCTCCCAGATGGAGCTCCTGGGCGACTTGTGCAGTTTTCGAGCCATTTGGGAGGGCTGCCACTCGGCCATGCGAGGCTGTGTGCTTCTCCTTGGTCCAGCCTTTTCAGATGTGGAGCTTTCGGTGTTGCGCATGGTTGGCAGTGGCTGCGGGTTCTTTATTGCTGGTGTGGAAGTGAGAACGCTCTCAGGGGGTTCTTGCTCTGCCAGGTGCTGGAGGAGCAGAGTAGCCAACATATCCTGCCTGGTACCAGAAACTGGGAAGTGGTGGAAATTGTCACTCTTGTTTCCTTCCCAGTCGGCTGCGAGCCCCAGGGCAGCCCCAGCTGTGGATGGGTTGTCCCTGTTGCTCTTTGTGGGTGCCCTTGTCCTTCAGTCGAAACTGGTGCTTCACCTGTGCCAGTGTCACCTCTGTCCCGGAAACCTCTGTGATTTTTATCCTTCTGCTCAATTTGACAGTCTTTTTGGAAAACGCTGCCTTTGCAGTGAGGTAGCGACTTGCGCAGAGCCGGTTTTCTGCTGCTTTGTTATCCTCTGGCACAGCAGGATTGCTGGAGCTGTGGGTGCCTGAGGAATTCACCTCCAAGCACTTAAAACCCCCGCTTGTTTTGCAAACAGTGCTGCTGAAGTGTCTCCTTAGTGCTGGGGTGCTGCATTCAACGCCTCTTCCTCACTTACACTGCGCTGTCTGTGCTGAGCATCCAGGCGAGGAACGCAGGCGTGGGAGCAGCTTTCCCTGTGGGTGTCCATGGGCTTTGCGCTCACCTGCACCCCGGGCAGACCTTGTTCCTTTTGCTTTGTGTACTGGAAACATGAGAACTATATTTTTTTGGACAAAGTATTTCTAAGCAGTCTTATAAGGGATTTTTTTTGTTTTTTAAGAAAAAAGGTGCAAGATTGAGTGCATGTTTACTTGCCCCAGATCAAAGGTTTTGAACACTAAGGTCACTATCTGTTGAATGGACTCTCCACTTGGCACTCTTCTGTCTTCAGGCAATTGAAGCTCCTGCCCTCTTTCTCTACCAGTTTTACTGTAACTACTTTATTTGATTTTTCCAGGACAAATATATATACACAGAAGTTCTAAGCAATTAAATGTTTAAGCCATAAAATCATGAGTGTGGAAAGACCCTCTTAACAAGTTTTAACGTATTTGTATGTAAAATGATGTTTGTATGAAACATTTTCAT